ATGTACTGTTCATTCTAATGGACCAAAACGATTGTGTTGTCGAACATATTTCCGTCAAAAATCTAATAAACCAAATCGAAGCCGTAACCACTTTCCCGGCGATTCGCCCATTCATATTTTGATCGTAATTTATGGACTGCGATAAAGTGCATCGCGAAGGTCCTGCATCTAAGCGTCTGACAGCTCACTTCCAGCGCTACGAGACAAGTTTCAAAAGTTGTGACACAGACCGTTCAATGTATTATTGAATCTTTTTTATATTTGTTAATAAAGTAGACAAAAAAAATAACAATGTCACGAATGTGCAAAATTGATTTTTGTGAGAGCGTAGCACGTGATAAACATCAATTTCATAAGTAAAAAATGTTTCTTTCATTACGGAACATTGTTGATACGTTCAATTTGTTGCGTTCATGAGTGCGTCTAACGACGTAAAGAATTGAAATGAACTTCACTGAATGCGTTCATCGCAAATTCGTGTTTTACTTTGTTTTGTTAGTGTGGTGCAGGGGCTGTGGTGCATCGTCAAAATTAACATGCTCAATCGGAGTACTCAATCAAATTGAAGTGGATGCATTGTTGAAATCGACATCGAAGAGAAGCGAGAACAAGGCTGTTGTTTGCCAAACAAGCTGAGAAAATTGCAATATATTCTTTTTTGTGTATGTGTGCATATGTTCATGGTACACAGGCTGTTTATGGTACGTGCTATTGCACACGTTGATCGGCTCATGTATGCACCACATGTGCCTTTTCTTCATGATGTCACATTATTCCCGCTTCCGACTGTATTCATGTGCTAATCACAATCAATATCGATTACGCGTTCAAGCCACTCAAAGCGTGTGTTCGTCCAAATGAAATTATAAAGATACGGTTAAATAGTTGTGGTTCAAAAAGGGCGCTGCGCACACAATTGATGATTTTGCGAATGGAAGCATCGGATAATGGTCATAATCAGATTTTATTCGAATCCAACGAATGAAGGGTGGACATTTACCATTGTAAACCCAGAAAAAAAATGTTCCAAACAAAATTATTTGCAAATCAACGATTTTCAGAATGGCCTTTTCAGCTAAAATCCTTCGTCACGAACGTTCTACTTTGTTATTGAAATTGCGAAAGAAGGCGTGAAATGAAATTGGCGTTCGTTTTTTCTCTTTCACCGTTTTAATGGAATTCATGGCACGGAAAAGTCTTTGGATCATAATCGAAAAAAAGAAAAATAACACGAATGTCATTCCCAGTTTATAGACCAGAATGCTTGTACTTTTGGAGTAAAAATAACCAGTTGCAATGACTGCAATTGCCGGTTGAGTTGTTAAAACTGTGATGGCAGTTTTATAAAGCATGTCGATTGCAATCGTCTTCGGTGGTGGCCGTGCTGTTTTATTTTAATTGTTTCATCAACACATCAAAATTTTAAAAGAAAACGGGAGAAAGAAAAGAGCGCACACAGACGAAACAAAAATACCAGGCATCAAAAGCGAATATGTGTGAAGTCATGCTGTTATACATATCGCGCGCCTTTGTGCAGTGTGTGTATTTTTTATGGCCCGCTTCTATGATTCGATGAGTTTTGTGCTGATACATGTTTGCGTGTATGAGTTTGTGTTGTGCCTGATCATCAACCACCCGCATCGTATTACCATTTTTCAAGTGGTTGCGGATTGATGTTTTATTTATATATTGTAACATCGTAATGCATTCACAGTACACCGTGCGTATGTATAACATTGTTGATAGTAGGTGTTCTCTCTCTCTCTGGATATTTCTCCACTAACGCTTGACACGTGCATTGGGCCATGCCTCAAATCTTCGCTTCACATCGAACTCATGGCGACAATATCCGAAAATAATATTATGCTCAAGCATACTTTGCTCAATTATTTATGTGATTGCCGTTAAGCAAACAATGCTCCTTCTCTCCGGCATTATTTATACAAGCAATTTACTCGGAGGGCAACATCACACCAAACCTATTGCAATTTCCAAGCAATTTCCTTTCCTCGAGCATGTATGCATGGGGAGTGTGTGTGTGTGTGTGCTTGTACTCAAAATTGTTATTACATGCATTAAATTTACTCTTGACATTACTGTAGTGGCGGGAAAGGAAATTTTTCTGCGCAAATAAAATGGCATAGCCGGGCAAAAATTGTGTCCTTGATTCGATGTTTGCATATTGGCAGAGTGAAAATCGTCCGTTATGAGCACACACACACACAATGATTTATTCGGAATGAGGTTTTTGGCGTTCAATTATGCTTGAAATTTTAATTTTTCCACCTTTTCAAGTAGATCGGCCGAGCTATGACCATGGACTTAAAATGGAACTCCAGAACCATGTCCTACACGCTAACGCGCGATCCATAGTTTTTCACCTTTTTTCGGCTGTTCGATTTGCATTTTATTTGTGTCTGTGCAGTAGATGTGTATAATGGTAAAAATGATGCAATTATAAATCAACTCGTTTTCGACCTCATCAACTGAGCCATCATCGCATCACACATACACACACGCCGAATTCGCATTGATTTCGTATTCATTTATTCAAATTTGGCTGCCTTTCCATTTTCTCTAAATAAACGCGCAAACCTATTTTCGATGTTGATGATTCGGCTCAAGAATTCTTTTTTCTATCTTGAGGCACAAAACGATTATGCAGTATATACCAAGGTATATTTAACTATCGTTTTCGTGGTGATTGACCCCTTTCTCTCTCCCTCTCTCTCTTTCTCTCTATCCATCAAGTGCTGTGGCATTCTGCGTGCATAGGCCATTGCTACCGTTGCTTTGATCACAAACGCATATACCACTCGATGAATACGAAAATTATCATAATTATATTAATAATATCGCTTATGGGCTATATCAATAAACATATTCCGACATATCACGATTTTCTCTTTCGCTGACCATTCCATTCAATTTGCCACAATTTTTTTTTTCATTTTCTTAGAAAATTTGAAGCGAATTAAAAAACCATTGGCCAATTCTTTTTGTTGCTTTAGTACATTGTGGCCTTTGTACACACTATCGTACCAATTTACTGCGACAAAAGGTAACGGACATTAAATTACATCAAAGAAAGTGGTATCGTTACATTCTAAACGGCACACACTGCAATTCCGCTTCACACACACACAAAAAAATGCGAACAAGTGTTAATATTTTAAATTGTTCCTAGTTAATTTATGTCGAGTGTTGGTCAAAGTAAAAGAAGATTATTTGCATTTTATTGCAATTTTCCTTTCATAATTTGCTGCATTTTTCGCCGTGTCAGAACAAGAGAGATGGTTATGTATTGGAAAATTAGGCAACACTTAAAAAATATGCAAATGAACGAGAAAAAAACGACGATGATGAAGAAGAATTAGAACAGAAACTGCACGCAAAATGAAATCGCATATTAGCATTAATGAAAAACAAATTATTTTATCGTTTTCAGTGTGTTTTCACATTCTGCTCGCAAACACACACACACACACACACACACACACACAAATGATGGGCTCATTTTTGTGCGACAGACAAAACAGCAACAACAGTAAAAACATGAAGAAATGCACGAAATCATCGCGTAACATTGAATATCGTGTTGTAAAAGCAATAACAATTAAAGTATAGATTAAAGTGATTATTGAAGGTGATTAACCGCAATGGAAACAGCGGCCAAGTATCTTCAGCGAATATAAATTCATTTCAATTAGAATAGATTGAATCTGCAGTGACGTCACAATGGTGCACTTTGGAAACGCATTCCTAGCGCGCACACACACACAGGGCAGAATAAAGAACGAGTACTCACTATCTCGCTCGTTCGCACAGCCGAATCCATATGAAGGGAACAAACGGGTTTTTGCAAAAAAGAATGAAGAATATATTTGTTGAATTGCATAATAGTTTTTTTTACATTCGAAATGAAGGCCAATATGCAAAAAAAGTCAACAACTATGCCTGACCTCATGAATTGTAAATTTAACTCGGTTCGTGCAGTCGAAAAACATGTACTTGTCTTCTTTTTGTTCACTTGTATGTGTGTGTTTGTGTGATTTTTTTTGTCGTTTGTTTCGTTGCTATTTTGTTTTCGTGGTGAAATGATCAAATACCAGAGACGTTTTAGTTGGCTGCATCAAGGGAATGACACCCTTGGCTAGTTGCCATTCGCGAGGGTTGCAATATGTTTGTTATTGACAATAACTTCTAATCCGTTTGATGGCATCAAATTCATCGAAACAATGTGTAATTGTGTATTCTGTGTAATATGCTTCCAGTGGTCTGACTAGTCTGAAAAATATGTGACACTTAACTCGATAGGAAAAAAATCCCCACAATAAATTAGATTGTTATTTGTATTGACTGCTGCTCACGAGAGCACACATGAATTGACCGAACGTTTCACGTCTCACTATGCGATAAACGAGGGGAATGCACGCCATAAAGTGCACAATGTAAATAATATTGCCGCCTGTTTGTGACAAGTCCAATCTCTTTCAATTCGATTTAGTACTTGTGTTTATTGAACATCAAACATTTTGTATGGTTTCTGGTTATTCGTTGAATATTCGAAATTTCATGCCTCGAATCAAAACGATCGTATTTTTTGGAATAGATAAAAAAAGAGCTCCGTTTTTATAGATTTTGTCAAGAAAACAACGTCTTAATTTTTCTCCATTTACAGAAGCCTGTTCGAGTAGATCAACGCCAAGACCAAGGCCACCAACACCAGCGCCTCGACCAAACATCACCTTTCCAACATATAAATGCCCACCCGCGTACGCGGCATACTACTGTCTCAACGAAGCGAGATGCTTTACCGTAAAAATTGGCGATTCGCTGCTATACAATTGCGAGTAAGTCCAAATATACCCATTGGATTGTTTTCTCCTCACTCTTTTTTTTTGGAAACCTTATGGCACACACTAAATGTATCGCTTAAATTTTCAGATGCACTGACGGTTACATGGGTTCCCGTTGTGAATACAAAGATCTAGACGGCTCCTATTTGCGTAAGTATTCCACTGCTAATTGCTAACAATGAAAAAATGACAAAATTTCTTTTGCACAATTGACTAATAATTGTTCATGACTATTATTTCATACAGCGACACGTCGTCTGGCCATGCTGCAAACGGCGAGCATAGCGAGTGGTGCGTTTTTGGCACTATTCCTGGTGTTAGTATTATGTCTAGTCTTTTATGTGCGGTGGAATCAACAGCAAAAGCGAGATCGCTGCAACGGTGTGCACGAAGAGAACGGTTTCGATACGGTTGACGGTTTGCATACGGTACGAACAGCGTTGCCAGAACTGAGGCCATTCGGACCGCATCATCAACGGTTCATACCAATGTCACAAGCGTACAACAATAATAATCGATAAGTGCCTGAGGTTCGAATGCGTCCCCAAAAACGATGGGAACAATAATTTCGTCCAAATTTCGTGTGGCATTCCATCGGTGTTGTAAACAGTGTCCATTTTGCGTTGTGCTACAGAGAAATCCACAGCAATATCATCATATCAACACACTGAACAACTTCGCAAGCACTGAGTCCCAACAACCAACACATTATAATTATGAATCTTTTTTTTTGCTGGATAAATTAATAATTAAGCCAGCGCGCAAAGTTTCAATTGTGCGCACGTTTCTTTCGATAAAAAGGAATTTTCTATGATTGGTATCAACACAAACACACGCCGAAACGATACCAATCAAACCATAATTTTTTTTTTCGTTGATTACTTCAATCGCAAGTAAAAGACTAACTTATGTTTATAATCCCAAAAACTAATTTAACTAAAAAAGAAATCTTAAAGCCAACAAACGCTATTTGCCTTTTCTGTACATAATATTGATTATTATTATTATAAATACTATACAAAAAATGATATATAATACGATATATATATATATAAATAGAAGCATCACGTAGAATTTAGAATGAACATATAGAATGAGTGTTGAGCGCGTGTTATAGATAAGAGAGAAAGAACAAGAGTGTATAAAGTTTTACATTGCGCAAAAGCCAAATAATTGTACCGAAATGAAGAAACAAAAATGAATCTGACATGGAATAATTTTGTTCAGTGATTTGTTCGTAGTGTTTTTTTCCTTTTGTTGTCAATATGCAAAAAAGTAAAATGGATCATATGTAAATATTCAGAGGAGACGCATAATGTCAATAGATAAAAACAAAAATCCACCAGCGATGATTGAACGAGAAACATCAATCGAAGTCTTTTCTTTCGAATCTACCGGTGAATAATTCTTTTGCTATTTGAAAGCATAATGGTGATTGTCTAATCGCGAACAAAATACAATTGCAAGATGCGATATTTAAAATTTTTCTTCTTCTCATTCAGTGCAATTGAATTGCATCTCAATTTAATGAAGAAAAGAATCTTCATTGCCATGAATTGGCCAAATTAAAATTTTTCATTTTTGAAAATTCTTCTTCATTTTTTTCCTTCTTAAAAAATCGCATTCAATGAATGGATTAAATAAAAAAAAACTTCGACTTGAATTTACAACGACATCACCTGATTAAATATTAATCACTTCACTCAAAACATCACATTTATTATTTAATTGTCATTTTTCTATTCCTTTACTTTTTTTTCTTTAGTTATTTCTTAAAAATTGTTTCGATTGCTTTTTTCTCGTACAAAATTTAAAAAAAAAAACCAATAAAACTAACGTAATAGAGAGCTGGCTCTAAATATTTCATAATTCAAATGATGTAATCTGGATTGTTAATACACATTTCAATAATTTACATTTCCGTTTTTTATTTCTGTTTCTTTCCGAAATCATGTTCTGCGTTTTCATTTGAAACAAAACCCGAGAAAAAATGTCAACATTTCAACGTTGAAGTCTTGAGATGTTGACTGTAACCGAATAAAAAAGTGTTTTTTTATAAATATTTTCGCCACAAATAAAAAAAAGAGAATATTACAAAATAGACGCAATAAATCAATTAAGAAAAGAGTGCCCTCACCCATTATCTCAAAATAAAACGCTCGATTGAGACATGTATTTGCATATTTAGCCAAAGATAACAAATAATTTACATACGTATCACAGAAAAGTAAAGCCGACTTGAAAAAAACAAAAACAAAATAAAATACACACAAAAGCCACAAAAATGAAGAAGAAAAAACGTACTGAAGCAGACCAACCGAGCCACTCGTCGTAGCAAACAAATTTAAAGAGAAAAAATAGACATGATAAGATTGCCATTGCAGAACGTAATCAAATTAATACAGGTGAATACTTGTACACAATACAATATGCACATTGAAATAAATAATAGCCAGGGTGTCAATTCAAACTGAGAGCAATAAACAATCGAATTAAGATTCCATAGATAATGAAGATCTCTGATGCATGTTTATCTCCTATTTTCCAAGGGAGATAAATTGAATGTGTCCGATTTTAATTTTCAATTTAATCACAATCCAAGTACCCATTTAAATCTACAAAATTTACATGTGTTTGACGAATGCCCTACAAAAAAAAACGTTGGCAGAATCTGAACAATCCTGAGGCATCAGTTCTACATGGTTTCGAGTGTTCTTCCAAATGACAAAACAGATCATTTTAAAATGTCATTGAAGCAAGTTTGCCGGGATTCTTTATCATTTTTTTCTGCGATTATTTCAAGAAATATGATTTTTTTCCCCTTCGAATTCAATCAATTGGAATGAGGGAATTTTATCCAACTACATCAATCACAGCAATGACGTCCCTTTTATTTTGTGTTTTAACCACAACTCCGACAACTACTGAACAAATCAATGGTATTTTATTAGGTTGTAAAATTCATGTAGAAATTTATTGCTTATTGACTGCGTGAATGGTGACCGGACTTGACAAGAAAACCAAACACTACTATATCTGCTGAAAATGAAAAAAAAACATCACAATAATGGAAAACTCTTATTTCAACAATATAAATAAAAACTTAGAGAAAGAAATGCAATGAATTGAATCGTCTGATCGAATGTATATTCAACCTCATTCTTAAACCAACTAATGGATTGAAATACGAAAAGAGGAACTTTCCATTTTAAAAAATATGTGCATGCTATGGATACTGTTGAAAGTATTTGATTTTCCCTACCGAACATAAAAGGATGTTCTTCGTTGCCTGATCTGCTTGGTTCAAGCCTGAAAAAAGAAAATCTATGGAGATAAGATAATGACAATGAAAATACATAGTAAACATTAAGGAAGCAAAAAACGTAAACTATTTAGAATAGCTATTGAACTATAATAAAAATTAATGCTGTTATTTATTTATTAATAAATTAAAGGAAAATGAGAAAGAATAATGATAATAAAAACCACATTTTTTAAGAGACGAAAAAAAAACTAAGCAAAAACTGTCTTTTACTACTCATTTTTATTTCTGGATTAATGGATAAGTTTTTTTTAGCTAATCAATTATTTAGATTCAGTGCTGACATGATTGGATGATCATGTATGTGGAAAATGGTATGTGATGGGAATGGGAACAGATGCAACATGTTACTTGAAGTGCAGCAAATGGAGACGCCGTATCGTTGTTAAAAAAGCTATTCAGCAAGTCGAATTCTTTGCACTCAAGGAAAAATAGCCGTCTCCATCTTGAAGAATATATCAATGTTATGTGGCTTTAGCTGAAGACTTCCATGCGCTGAATGGAAGTTTTATGGGCTGTATTGGCTCTGCATTTTTGATTTAATGAAATGTTCAACAAAACCTGGTTCTAAATAATGATATTTTCGACTTTATTCATAACGGTTATATGCTGTAAGTTATATAGCAGTTGGCCGATATTCTTCTCGAATTTAATGAAAAGCAAAGTGTACGTGGCTTATATTATTCAGAATTCCATGTGGAAATGGTTCTTAATGCTTTGAAATGTGAATTCGATTTATGATTTGACCATGTCAATTTTACCTTGTCAATTTTCTCCAGCCAAGTATGTTTACCGTCTATTGAAAAATTCATTTGGCTTTGAAAAAGACCCTGGCGAATGAAATGCTCGTACGAAACATCATCATCAAGGCCTACATATTTCTATTGATCGAAAGTGCTTACGATTGCACAACTTCAATCAGATTGTGGTTATACTCAGGGCTATACAATACGAATGATATAACGGAGAGCAAAATTTCTAATCAAATGATCGTCATCTCTCTTTATTGCGTTAAGATCCTCGCAAGTATTATCGGAGATAAAAGAAAATATTCGGCCATAAGAATGAGTACGATTTCGTGTTGAATTGTTGATCATGAAAATTCTGGGTTGATACGTGGACATAAAATCCACCAATAACAATGATTTGTCCAACATTTTGATGTATAAAACCAATCTATGTACACGTCGGTTGCCGGAGCCGTTTTGATTGGATGTTTGAAGTCAACACGTTGGTGTTTGGAGAAACTTGTCTTTGAGAAGCAAAAATGTCCTTGTGTCCAAGTTTGATCATCTATGATTCAGCACCTTTACACGTTTAGAAAAAGCCTTCGGTGGTATAATTCGTAAGTTTAGCGTCGCTTTAACTACAATGCATCAACAAGTTCCGTAATGAAAAAACATTTTTTTACCTATAAAATTGATGTTTATCACGTGCTACGCTCTCACAAAAATCAATTTTGCACATTCGTGACATTTTTATTTTTTTTGTCTACTTTATTAAAAAATAAAAAGAATTACATTGGTAATCCCGAACTTTTCCGTACCGTTGGCCTGCGTTGTCTGTAGGTACTTTTGGTTATTTTTTGTGAATTTTCTTGAAATAAAGGCAGTGAAAATATAATAATGAAAATAAAGTGAAAAATCGGTCACTTTAACTAAAACTTCGACAATTTTGTATGAGAGGTACCCGTAAACCGATTCCTATTGGCTTCAAACTTTCTGAGGTTTCATTTTTTGGAGAAAAAATAAGATTCTGAAAGTTTCATGTTGATCGCATTTGCAGAAGTTTGGTTTTTTGTCCTCAATTTTTGTCGACATTTTCTTGGAAAAAATTGAGGGCCGAAAACCTAACTTCTGCACATGCGATCAACATGAAACTTTCAAAATCTTATTTGTTCTCCAAAAAATGAAACCTCAGAAAGTTTGAAGCCAATAAGAATCGATTAACGGATGCCTCCCATACAAAATTGTCCAAAAATCGGTAATTTTAGTCAGAATTTCAAAAATTTTGTATGGGAGGTACCCGTAAATCGATTCCGATTGGTTTCAAACTTTCGGAATCTTATTTTTATCCCAAAAAATGAAATCCCAGAAAGTTTGAAGCCAATCGGAGTCGATTTACAGGTACCTCCCATACAAAAGTGTCAATTTTTTGAGGTTTTTCTTAGGGCAAGTACCCCAGGATCAAATCGAAAATGGCTCATCTTCGAACTTAAACTAAGATTTTGAATACAAAACTTTTGGCGTTTCCAGATTTTGATTATCTTAATTATTTTTTGAGTTATCGTGTTTACAAACAGCTACGACAACGACGACAACGACAACGACAACGACGGCACACGAACGGAAAAGTATCTCAAAAAGTTTTCTACGCGTTTCATGAGTTTTTATGATGATCTAAGCTACTTTTGCGAAAAAAGTTTTCGGGACTAATTCCTATACTTTCCCTTGACACGTTGTTATAGAAGTAAAGTAATAAGTAATATATTACTATTTCCTATTACTATTACAGGCTATTACAGTAATAGGCTATTACATTTATCCTATTACTTTTCCTATTACTTTTGTAAAGGGTTAACCTATTACTATTACTATTACTATTACATGTAATAGTAATAGTAATAGGTTCACCCTGTCACAAAAGTAATAGGATAAATGTAATAGCCTATTACTGTAATAGCCTGTAACAGTAATAGTAATGCCTATTATTTTTTCAAAGAAATTTTTTTCCAAAGTTTCATATAAAAAAATTTTTTTTTACGCCAGACGCATTTTTTATGAGAAAAAATGAGTCTGCCAAAAAAATCTAAATTTTTTACATGAAACTTTTTCTTCAAAAAAATCGGAATTTTTTTTTTTTGAAAAAATAATAGGAAAGTAATAGGCATTACTATTACTATTACTATTACAGGCTATTACAGTAATAGGCTATTACATTTACCTATTACTTTTCCTATTACTTTTGTGACAGGGTGAACCTATTACTATTATTATTGCACGGTTATTGTGTGTGATTCAGTGAGCCATTGTGATGTTTCTTTTCAATCACTTAGCACAGCCATAACATATTTTCCATATGCATATTCATATGTGTGTCGGACACTAACAGCGTTAATGTGATTTTTGCGTTTTTGAAAAACTGGCATATAATTTTTGAAAATGACTATATTTGATGACTCCGATTATGACTCATATTGTGACTCACTTTATGACTCAATTATAAAATAGTGATTCACTTTTCCGAACAGGAATCATAGAGCCAGCATTCATACAAAAAAATCTATTTCAGGTACTTGCGAAGGAAATGTACGGAGAATCGAATTTTTCAAAAATGTCGACCATTAGTGCTCGGTCCCCAGTGAACATTTTTTAGATCTGAAAAGTGCGTTTGCCAGCACTAATCCAGCACTAATTTTATA